TGAGCGCGCTCACTCGTGAGATATCAATTGAACACTCGAAGATAAAATTTGTATTTCCGCTCGCCCATGTAATATCCTCTATATGTTATATGAAACTGTCTAGCAGCTTAACAGTAGCTAGACTAGATAGTTTTCTAGCAGCTACTAAAATAAGATTTAGCACTTAATCAAAATTATTAACAGAGATTTGTCTGCTACAAAGTGGGGCTATCAGTCGATTACTGACAGCGCCCAGTTACTTAATATTCAGTAAGATTGTGACAAGCACCTCCCAATCGTTACTAAAGCTAATCTTAGAAATATAGTCTTAAATCCTTTCTCTGTTTCTTTCTATCTACCGAAACATCAATCAGCATTTACTGACTTTACATTATCGTTGATATTTCTGTTTCCCAAACATGATTTGGAAGACATAATCTTGTTATTTCCTGATTCCTATCTTGCTTTTCCTAAGCTCCTTTTTCGGCCATCCAATCTTAATGCTTTTTCACAGACTCTCTGGTGTTCACTAACGTATTTTCTCTTATGAATGAATTTATTTCAATAATTCCTTCTTTACAGGTTGTTATTGTGTTGATGTGTAAGTGACAATGGTGATGCTGATAGTGTTGATAGTGTTGTCAATAATGATGATTCTTATAGTGTTCCTTTTTTTTTTAATCAGGAAACTTTCAAAAAGAATCAAGAATCTAAGAGAAAACTTCCACAGGCGAGACATCCACCAGGTAACATACCTACCCAAGTAAGAGAAGGCAAAATATCAACTCAGAACTTAACAGAACTGTTTCAAAAACAAATGAACTCACCAAAAGAATGGACAACTGAAAAAATATCAGGTCACTATAAACTAGATCAAAAAGATGTGGAGTTGTTATTGAAGTATTTCAGTGGATATGCTGTAGTGGAAAGAYGGGAATTACCCAGGCCATTAGATAAAGTGGCATTTATAGAGTAAAAAGACTAAAAATAGTCCGAGTATAGTTGAGTTCTTTGTTGTATAGGGTAGCCTAGTTTAATATTATGAGATGGTTTATGGAATTGTAATATATTAGTATTGTGTAGCATAGTTTCTGTAGTGTAGTTCAGTATATCTAGCACTGATGAGAACAGGTAGCTCCCCACCCCTCTCCCCTAAAGTATGTTATCAATCTTGACCCCATCCCTTAGAAATTCAAATCCCCCTCTGTGGGGGAGGTATGGATATTTTCTGGAACTACACAATATACCCTCCTCAGACCTTCCCCACCCCTTGGAAATTCCAATCCCCCTCTGTGGGGCAGCTATGGATATTTTCTTGTACTACATAATATACTCTCCTCAGACCCTCCCCACCCYTTGGAAATTCCAATCCCCCTCTGTGGGGCAGCTATGGATATTTTCTTGTACTACATAATATACCCTCCTCAGACCCTCCCCTTGGAAATTCAAATCCCCTTCTGTGGGGGAGGTATGCAGTTGATTCCGACGAAGGACTAGCGTCCGAAACGTCAGTAAGTTTTTTCATCTTTTCACGGTGTATAATTTACCTTTTCATCATACCTATGCAGTAGGCAGTTACCCTATGCTAAATACTTGAATCTGTGAGTCGGCTATGCCCTGACTTGTTGCAGACCACAGGTTGCTTAAGGTTTCATAAAAATGTAATTTAGCATTTGAGCTTAATAAACAAGCTAGCACAGATTTCTGAGCAAAAAAGGAAACGAAATCTCTTTAATTTGTTTTTTATAATGTTCCAATTTGCTTGCTTGGCAAAGAATTATCTGATTGGCAAGCATCGCAAATCCTCGTTTCCCATTGAGTGGCCCATCCTAGCAGGCATTACTTTACAAAAGTTCACACTAAAAAATTGCTTCAAATCTCTCGACATTGCAAGTGTAACGTTTCATTTCTTGACGACTTATCTTTAAATTATCTTTACGACTTCTTGGCAGTATAGGAGCATATTTTAAACTGTTGCCAAATTTCTGGCTTATCTTTCTTGTCTAAATTCGTAAATCCAAATTCGTAAAATTTTTCTACGTGATTATGATTGAAACTTTAATGTACTTTTCAACGTATAAAGTAAGTTTCAAAAAGCTTTTGTTTGGAATTGTAATATAATGAAATATGGTCAAAAACCACAGTCAAAATAACGCATTAGATATCTGGAAAAGTATCGATATTTTTGGGGGCAGATTAACAGGAATTCGGAATGCTTGCCTTGTCAAGGCTTTATCAAGTATCTATCTCTTTGTATTCCTGGAATTTAGTCACATTTGGTTAGATTAAATTGAAGCATCGCCGGTTTTTCTCATTAAGAGATTTTTTCATGGAGTTTTGAATTTTTGGAGTGTTTTAGGGATTAGAATTGGCATGAGCTGTCAACATATCTCTGTCAAACGTGGACGCGTTGATTCAGGTCTGCGATAATTTCAAATTGTTTATTAAAGACCTTGAGTAAATTATTCGAGGTCGAAGCTTTGGTTCACGACCACTGCTAGTTTCAACCGAAGATCGCTTGTGAGAGTTTAGTGTTCGATTTGTGGAGGTTTTGTATTACACTCAGTTTTAAAATTGAAGAATTTAAGCCTGTTTTAAACAGGTTAAGTTAACCTGATAAACCTGTATCATACGACCTCTCTCGGTGGTCGGGTTTTAGAGGCTTTTATATCAAGCCGAACTTAAGCTAAACAATACAGACCTCTTTTATACGACCGCAAATAATTGTCATATATAAGCATGATACATACTTCTTGATGGTCGTGATGGTCGCCTTAGAAAGGTGTTGTAGGTGTTGTGTTGTTTGATCGTCTTTAAGAAAAGGCGAATATCAAATTAGCTACGACCTTGGTGTGTGTCGGAAGAGACAAAGAAGGAAGGAAAGGGAAAAAGCTAAAGGGGAAAGGACGAAGGGATAAAGAATCTGCAAAATGAGGGAAAGAGAATGAATGAATGAACGAATGAATGAAAATAATACTTAATTTTTTAAAATTAAAAAGAGAGAAAGGAGATGAAGAGAGAGAGAGAAAGAAAGAAAGAATGAATGAATGAATGAATGAATGAATGAATGAATGAAAGAAAGAAAAAAATGAAAGAAAGAAAGAAAGAAAGAATGAATGAATGAAAGAAAGAAAGAGAGAAAGACAAAGACTATAAACTAAACGCGATTCTGTAAAACTCCTTTCAATCCACCTTTTATTGACACAAACAAGTCTAGAATTCCAGGACTTTTTGTCATCTACAAACTTATATATTTATAAGTGGCTGTTCAGCTTATCTTCTTGCGAGCAGTAGTGTGACGGGGTCTTGCGATAACCACACAAACTCAAGTGCTTCTAGCCAGACTGCACGCGCGGCCAAAGTCCTCGTAAAAATGAAACTTAAGCGAACTTATCTATTTTTAGAGAATATCTAACGCCCCCTTCATTGTTAATCTTTACTAATATCTCAGATTAGTACTTAGGCGAACAGGTAATGACGATATATATATGAATATCGAGTCAATAAAGTCAAGGTTGATAGATCGATATGCAAGATTGTSCTCGTGTGACGCTCTTGAGTTGAAAGTTCACGCAGGAGAATTATTAGCGTTTCGGGCTTTCTGCGTCAGTTAACGAAACTCATTCTTTAGCTGTGAAAAAAATACGATAAATATGGATTCAGTTATAGAAAACAAGACTTGGACAATCAATAATGAACTTCTATTAGCCTGTGTAGCGGCCCTCTGGTTTCTCGCAAAGGAATGTTGTTGAAATGTTTCTCTCTGTTTTTTCTCCGATTCATAAATCCGTAAGRAGTTAAACTCAGCAAAAATTGAAGTTCTTAAATCAACAAAAGGCATTTTTATAGCGCTTCTATTTCTTTTCAAAACTTTAACGTCCTTTGACTAGTCTTCTATCTGTTCAATATTATTACTTTAGAGCTTCGACAGCACTAACAACCTTCGTATAACACTTGAACGACAAGACCCTTCGTCTAAGATAGGTAGATCTTTACCTTCCTTATCTTTCAGCACAGCAATCATCCCTTACATTCCTGGTCGTTAATTTGCAGTATTAGCTCGACTACCGTCACCGAGTCTCGCTTATTTACGTGAGTTGAATCTTAGCATTTCCGTAAATGATATTACAGCGATGGTTTTGGGCAATTTGAAGGTCAAGTTAGAGCGTTCCTTGAGATTTTTAATAAAGTACTTTGAGTGAAACAGCACAGTCTTTGATTTCTTAAATCTTCATAAACAACCCGACTTTTTGAAAGCTACTTTTCGGGAGTGGACGAGGAATAATACATTATTTTTGCCTTGAATTAGAAATTGTTTTTACTTGATATTGTATTACAAACATTTTGAGATGAAAAATGACTTAAAGATAACATATTTTGAAGGTTTAAAACGATTTTAAAAACAAAACTTATTGCTTATATTGCCGATATGAAAACGTTTCCATTCATGAAAAAAAAAAAATCTTTCAAAATTCCTTATTTATTTCAGCTTGTTAATATTTTTTTGCTTTTCTGCTTATTCATTTGGACCAAAATTTGCAAATAAATGCGAGTTTTCCCATACTCCGTGTATCTATTTACTTACAGGAAGTACAGTGAACTCGTGGGCGCGATAAAGAAGTTATTTCCTGTCCTACTGAGCTGAGCTTTTCAAAACCTTTTTTCCTAGATTTTTATCTTGTGGGAAATATTGTTTGGAAGTAAATAAATCTGTTTTATTTCCCTTTTCGTCTACTCAATATATGCTGACATAATTTTTCTACAACTGGAATAATTTTGGTCAGAAAAAAAGTTAAAATAAAATCAAAGTATATGAATATGAATACGCTTCAGATTTTCAACTTTTTTTCAAGAAATTTTTTTTGTTTGTTTGAGCTGTGTCCACTCACACAAAACTGTTAAACAAAGAAATTATGCTCTGAAAACAAATAACWCATGGTCTAAAATAGGAAAACAATATGCTCAAGGTGGAGGTATATTGGCAACAAAACCCAAAAGAAAACCCAAAAAATCTTTCCATATTCATAAGTAATAGATTGTTTTATTTTACATTCTCTTGMAAGTACTTGTAAAAATATTACCTACAACAACTGCAGTCCTTCATGGACTTATTTCAACTACATTAACTTGAATATCCTTGGATTTTATTTACAATATTACTATGACAAAAATAATATCTTTGTGTAACTGTCCTTTAGCCAAAATGCCGATAAACTCAATAGAGTACTTTCCTTTCTCTGTTTTTTCATATACAATAAAAATTGTCATTATAGCTATTTCTTCAAATCTATAAAMAATGTTATTAAGCATTCTAAAATTTATACACAATCTTATGTATAGAAAAAAGTAATTCTTGGATTTATGTGTTACCAACAAAATTTGATACAAAACTAGTGCGGTTCTAAAAGTATAAGTTAATATGAATTACTTTGACATTTCTTTGTAAAAAAACGAGGAGCTTTATCAAGAAATTCCTGAAATGAAACTAAATAACTATAAATGSATTTTCTGTTCACTCTATATTTTACTACAATTTTATGTTTTAATATGARTATTGACCTTTGAATTTTGTTTTCTTGTGAACTTCATATTTWAAAAAATGTTGAGCTTTGACAAACTTTTAAAATGAAGAGAAAAACGAATGAAGATTGTTGACAAGGAGCAGAAACTGGTTCATAATATAAATTAGAGAGAACATATAAAATAGTAATGTCAAGCAAATTCTAATATTTTGAAAGAGTTAGAGAAATTTCTTGATTTTTAGGGTATAATTTCAAAATATTTTCCTTATTGTTGTTTCTCTCTCTTCCACTTTTAATGGAGGATTCATATTGTAGAATTAGGTCAATCCAAGATGAGGGTAGATAAAAAGTCTGTGTAAAAAAATTTAAAAAAATTTAGGGGTCAACAAAGCATTTAATGCTACTGGCAAATCTTGAAGCCAGGATACAAATTCTCGAATTTTGCTTTTATTTGAGCCTTTTTGCTCTTGGAATGACCTATTTCCAATCAGTGACAGCTATTTTTTTCATGTGGCAACAAGAGAGAACTTTATGACCTAGACTTTGTGATTCACTGCACATCGATTTACTATACATAAACTGGGGCTTTATCACTCTCTTCACTAGTGTCCTCTGAAGGATGCCAGGTAAAAGTATTTGAATGTCCAGCATCATCGAAAAACCTCCTGAATGTAAACTCAAAGAACGCATGTTCYGATCTCCTGTTACTCTTGTCTGGGACAAGCAAGTCAGGGCTGACTTCCCCTCCGCTGTCTCGCACCCGTTCTGGGTCCACAGGGTCAAAGTTTGATGTGTCTGTCGGGTATCTAATTGGGGGTATGTAAGGTGCCTGGACTCGTTTAGAGAGGTAGTCCCAGTCGACGCACGCAAAGAAGGGGTGGTCTTTAATCTCATAGGCTCCTCCTGATCCTAGCCTTCTCTCTGCACTTGTACACAGTCGGAAAATAAGGTCTTCTGCTTCAGGTGACAGTCCTGCTTGTCTAGGAATGTGGAGGTTTCTCTCCCAGTTGATGACCTGAAAATATGAATAACATGTTAGGAATAACATTAACAATGTTCGTATCACAATAGATATAATGTGATAACATATTTTGCATGCTTCAAGGTGAAAATGACTTCCTCTGATAAAGTGATGGAGATAATTTCTAGGTCAATAAATCAGGGTATCATTTTAGTTGATAACTATATTAATGTAGAAGAATGTGCATGGTTTCCCATGTAAGTTTTTTCTGGTTTTGAGTAAAAATATTTTTTTTATTTAGGATTTTTTATTTTATTTTATTTTATTTTATTTTTTTATTCCATTAGGATTTTTTTTTTTCAATTCAAGGCTTAAGGAGACAGTTCCCACTGTGAGTCTAGAAAATAAGGGGAGCATTTTAGGACTAATCCTTTAAGACGTGCAAGAAAGGAATGCAGCCTACTACCGGGAATTATTGGTAACGTTACAGTTTATTGGAGGCAATAGCTCCACATGCACTTTAGAAGAGCAAATATTCTACAGTAAATGTATTTAGGAAAGAGWAAAAGGTTCACAAATAGGCCAAAATTGGTCATATAATTTATKCCAAAATAATTGACATCACTCCATCAACTGACTCCAAAACGGGCCAGAAACTTAAATCAAACTCATTTCTTGGTGTACTTTTCAAATTCAAAACATGAGTTCTTAATTTGAGGAGCCCCCAGGGCCGTAACCAGGGGGGAGCACAGGGTGCACRWGCACCCCCCATAAAAGCTTAAGGTCCGCTCATCCATCTCCTTTTTTTTTTTTTGGTTCTGCTTTCTTTCGGTTACCTTTTTTTTTTGGTTCTGCTTTCTTAAAAGAAACTACCAATGGTCTGATTTTATTCRATGTGCACCCTCCCTGTTAAATGTTTTGGTTACGGCCCTCAAGAGTAAAGATGGTTCTAGTAATTTWAAGAAAATTTGCATCTCTGAGTACAGCAGGGGCCGCGGAGCACCCTAGTTAATTAGTTAATTAGTTAATTTATACAATAATATTAGCTTTTTTATTAATATTTTTATGATTTTGGATAAAAAACTAAGCAATAATTCTAAAACTTCACTAAACATCAAGTGCTTACTATTAATAATATTAATAATTAGAGTGCAAATAATTAATCCGTGAAACACCAATTACTAAATAGTACAAAATAGTACTAATTAAACAATAGAAAACAAGGAAATTTGCATGAAATTGTGCTATTTAGTATTACTAAAGCTTCACGGTTATATTATTTGCACTCTATTATTTAATAAATAGTAATAATTGAACATACCTTAAGTTGTGTCTCAGCAGGTGTAGGGGCTAAGAACGGCGGCTGTCCCACCAACATTTCATAGAGTATGACTCCAACTGACCACCAATCACAGTCCTTGGTATACCCTGWACGCGACAGCACTTCAGGTGCAATGTAGTTAGGTGTGCCGACCAGGGAATGCGCCTGGCAACGCATGTGCTTTCGGAAGTGCCTTCGTTCTAGAGGCTTCATTTCATTGTACGGTTTATCTACACAAATATCTCCRCATCGACAGTGTGCTTTGATTGCCTCCCATTCACGTTCGTCCGGTTCGACACTGTCTTGCCTTGCATGCTGGGCTTTTTGGTAGTACTTGGAGTCGTGGGTCCATCGAAACCCGGTACAAAGTCCAAAATCTGTCAATTTGATATGACCGTCTTTGTCGATTAAGATATTGTCYGGTTTAATGTCTCTGTGCCCGAATCCCATCTTATGTACAGACTGGATAGCCAATACTAATTCTGCTATATAAAATCTGGCATAATCCTCAGGGAATATGCCGAACTTGATTAAAAGACTCATTAGGTCACCCCCTGGGATGTAGTCCATTACGAAGTACAGAAACTCCTGGTCCTGGAACGAATAATATAACTTAACAAACCACTCATTATCAGCTTCTGCTAGAATGTCTCTTTCAGCTTTGACATGAGCTGCTTGGTTTCTTCTCAACACGTCAGTTTTCCGTAGAATCTTCATCGCAAATAGCATCGKAGTGTCTTTTTTCCGCACTAGCCACACTTCTCCAAATGCCCCAATACCAATCATCTTAAGTTTCTCAAACATATTAATTCCCATTTTTGTCCGTTTTAATCTTATGTARTTTGTTTCCTTTTGCTTGAGGATCTCTCGCATTTGTGACTGAGCTTCCTCTGATAGTCCAACTTTTGCCATCTCGGCCTCAAGCTGGGCTCGTCTTTGAGCTCTCTCCTCACGTGATTTCATGACATTCTCAACATGTTGCTCCATGAAGAACTTGAATGCCTCTGGGGTATAATTTTTGATTTTTCCTTTACAAGCCTCTAACTTTTCTCTCGAAGATTGAACAGAATTTTCCTCTGACGAAAAAAAACTTGCATAATCATCATCTAGGTCCATAGATTCCTGATAACTATGCATCCTTTCATCCGTCCTTACTTTAAACGTATCAAAATTATAATTGATTACAGCTCCTCCCATGTTCTGTATTGTCGTGGCAACCATGGGAGTCTCCATAGCACTGTACGAGGAATCYGAAAAAGGAGAAGGGGGACCAGAGTCATAAACAGTGCTAGCATAAGGTTGCTCGTCGCTCATTGAAGAATTTGAAGACGCCTCAGTGTTCCAGGAATGTCGCCAGTTTTCATTATTTTTTGGTGACGATAAATAGGATTGACTTGATACACTAGATAATGATGAGCAACCAAGAGTTGAGGCGGTGTCAGAACCAATCCCTGAAGTCCCGGATGATGGTCGCTGAGCAACAGGAGCATAAGGCGGTGGCTGCGATTTAGGATCAAATGACTGTACAAAGTATGGAATATTGTTYTCAGCTTGCAGTGGCAAGCCAATTTGCGGCACACATTGATTATGGGTTTTGAACACTGGTGAATGTCGGCACTGGTGTGTCTGAGAATCACCTGAGCCTTCGCGGCTTCCATGGCTATTATGTGCCCGTCTTGTCTGTAGGTTTCGCAAGGTCTGAGGCGACATTTGAGGGGGTGGATTACCAGACGGCGGTGAAGGAACATTGGCGTGAACTTGAACATGGAAGGACATGGGACTGGCTGTGTTTCTGTTTCCTCCTGCAGAAGAAGCGTAGGTCTTACTTGGTGGATATACTTCATTTCTATTTGTACTGGTGCTCAAGTTAACTTGTGCTGTTACTTGGAATTGAGGTTGGGGCAGTGCTGATCCCGCATGCGAATGAGGGGGGAGATTTTGGGGTGGGAGTCCTTGTTGAGGTGCGTATTGAGAGACTGGTGGTTGATTTTGAGGGGGTGCTGGTTTCCATCCCATTAACATTCTAGGATTCACTCCTGATTGTCTACCTTGACTAGACGTTGCTAAAGACTGYGGCACACTGGAGTACCGTTGCTGCATCCCTGGGCTATCTTTCTTAGACACCTCCCACTTCACGCATGGCACTTCCAATGAAGTAGTTACAGGCGAAGATGTACGAGGAGTTGTTAAATTTCCAGAGAAATGTTCTCGTGTTAAAGGTGACTCTGGTCTCTTGGGTATATTAAGTGCCTCTTGCGATCCTATCCATGAATTCCTATGGATCGCATTATAAGGTGGCGGCGATTTCATTTTGGCCTGAGGGTACAATGTACCAACAGGAGAGGCATGGGATGCCAGGTGATCCTTGGTTTGAGCATGGCTTCCCATGTTTGTAAGAATGTCTATCGCTGACTCAACACTTTGACTTGAAGTCTCTCTCAGTGCGAAAGCRGCACTATCCTGTAAATAAATTAAAAACACGATTTATACTGCAATTCTCAATATTTGTTCTTGTTCTGAAATTGGTTTCTTGCAGCTATCACTGAGTCAAAAATAAGAAAGCTATCGACTGATTATTTTTAATTGACAGCAGTGAAAAAACAAATTTCAGAATAAAGCTGGCATTACAGTTAAGTTCACAGAATATCGAAGGCCGCATAAATGACTCTACTTCTYTTTGTTTATTTATACCCTCACGACACATACATCAACAGAGTTCCCAGCACATCTGTAGCATAACTTGCTATCATATGGATATTCCAATGCTGAAATCCTTCTACAGACAGTAATAAGATAGACATCGTCGCGAATTTAGTCACTCATCACCGATTCACAGTAAAAGTCCAAAAATTCAACACGACATAGCAGCAGTTATTAGATTGTTCYAGATCAAATGAGCCTCAAGTATTTGACCTAATTAGCCGCTCCGCAAGATCGAGGTCTTCACAAAAATTCAAACTACTTGAAGATATTTCTAGCTCGTGTGTTTGAACCTTGAATTCTATAACAGCCCTTCAGAAAACGAAAGCGCAGTTGATCCGAATAGATCGATGGATAGRGACATTTTCAAGTAAATCTCTGCTGCGCTTGTACGAAAAACACTTTCAAGGCGAATAAAATAAATTTATTTGAAATCTCGCGTAAAAAATCTTTAGTCACAGTGCTTAGTTTAAAAGAAATATATTTTAAGCAAATATAGTCGGAATTTGCGAGCTCTAAAGAGAGTCCCGTTCGATGTTTGAATCAAAGTCTTTTTGATGAACTGGAATTTGTAATGAAAAATCTCCAGTAACWCGAAAGGAAACCAAAGTATGCTTGCACTTTCCTGGAACATAATTCAAGTTCCTTTACGGAGTAAAAAACCGTCAAGAAATAGTTTAGATAAGGATTACAAACCTCTAAATATAACCAACACCGTTCTCTACGTTATTACTGTAGGCAGTAAATTAAAGGGTTCAAATTAAATCATAGTTTTGGAAATTATCTATAATTGATTTATATAACAAGCTAAAAATATTCAATGGAGATTTAAAAACAATGTTTTCATTGGATGGAAATTATAAATTTAACAAGATTTTTAATGCTTTGGAAATGAGAAAAGAAAGCAAAAGTTGAACTAACCTCATCGTAGCCAATCGCGACCAGTTGCTTTAGGAATTGTCTACTTATACCGTCCGAATATGAAACAGTCGACTCTGAACACGATGAATATCCAGATTCAGAAGCCGCATACGGTTCTAAACTGCTTCGTATTTTAGCAAGAGTTTCAGCGTGTCCACTTCCACTAAATCTACGATTCTGTAGAGGATATCTTGAGTTTGGCATTCCCGGAGAAACAGCGTTGTCCGATGTTGGAGCACCAGTAGTACGGACGTCAGTAGCTGGAATASCATTCTTGGAATCTTGTGGTTGCCGTTTTAAATGTATTAAACTCTCTCGAATTTCACGCAGCATCTGCTGGCTGTTCATAACCAATGTTGGTGGCCTTTTCTTAACATCATCTTCTGCCATTTTCTTGTGATGTGTCAGAGACCAGAGAAATCGTAGCACAACACGACAGACAATGAAATAACAGCCTAAAAATTAAGGCTTAATATTCGCTTTGATCCCTTGCTTCCTTCCGAATGATCGGCCTAGAAGTCTGTTCCGTATTTTCGACTAAAGCCGGTGAGAATAAATGCCATTGTAGCCGCGATTCCAACTTCGAAGTAAGAATGTTGGGGACAATTTCTGCCCGAACAAGATATCAACAGCTCTTGTGAATAATTTTCGAAGCAAAATCTTCGATTTTCATTCCAAATCGATGCGATCTTACCGGCAGAAACTCGATGGACGCCAGTTCAGTTTATTAGGTGAGAAACCGCTTGAAAAATGGTTGGGATTCCTAACCACAACGTCGTGAACTTATTTCAATCTTTACGGGCAAAATCAGACACATTGCCAGAGAAAACAACAACTTTTGTGCACTTGAATGGTTTTAACTCAACAATGGATCATAGTTATTCTCCAGCGTACGACTCTATCCTGAAATCTCCAGCTGCTTCCTACAAAATGAGTCAAATTAGAGGGAATTGAGTCAGGCAAAGAAGACTTTTGTGTTCGAATGTGCAAAATTATAGCTCACATACTTTGCCTGCCCTCGAACATTGAAATAAGATAATTGACACATAGCAAACGTTCCAAGCAATCCCCGCACTCTGATTGGCTGAAACCCTCGTCTCTGCGTCATAACAACCTCATTTAGGGTCAGCGGTGACTTTATAAGGGTTCACCGTAAATGTTCAAAATGCGATAAAGTAGCATTCTATATCGATAAATATCCTGGAAAACCAATACTATCTCAATAAAAAATCAAAAAATAGAATTGCATCAGTGAATATATTGTTCTTCTAAATTTAACGTGATGGATATTATCTGGTGCCTGAGCATACGGAATCCATTATTTTAGGACGCCATATGACCAAAAAAGCCTCCAAAATACGAATTACTCAAGCGTAAACATCCACAACATTGTCTAAATATGCTCACGTATTTTTATTTTCGCAGTCAATATGCCTAAGACTAACAAACATGGACAGGACTACAGTTAATATACATGCTTTTGCTTWAAAATGTATTCCCTTTCCCCCAGAGGTTCTGCTAATGAGTTGAGACATTTTGGGCTCAAAACGGAAGAGGTAAAATTTGTTGTAATTCTTTAGCGATGACCAGACGTCCATTTTCGATCCTCGTGTAGCGTGACCTATCTTACTTTTTCTAGGTTCCGCAAAAGACGATAGTAAGTGATTCTTTAGTTCGCATATAAGTTCCTGAGCTGGTGAAAGTTATTTTAGGGAACGCCAGCGAAATCCAATATAGTYGTATTGTCTGGAGATAACAGACTTACATTTTTTCTGAAAATTATCCAATTATTTGCAAAAAGGCGAACCACTCTTTTTTTTCTAACTATCCGATATTTTTTTACACAATTTTTATCTGATATTCTTGAAGTGATGAATATCCGACCACCCCCCCCCCCCCTCCATCCCCATGAATCGAATATAGTCCAGTAAAGAAAACTCAMATTCTTATTAATTGATATTTTGGACTGTTCGTGTTCAAAAATGTTTTTCAATGTTTATTTTCATACGAAACTGCTCAAGATTTTCCCGCCGTTTTTCACTTTCCAAAATTGTTTACGTTATCCGTCTCATTAGCATAAAGTAAACATATTTTATCATCGTCATCAACATCAGCATCTGCTTATTTACAGCTGTGAACTTCCTAGACCACGCTTTCAAAAAACAAGAGCAGTTAAATTCTCTTAATGAATGATTTGGAAAAAATTTTCTAAGGGCATTTTTTGCACGTGGAGAATAGCCGGTAGTCGACACTTTAGTATAYTGAGTAGTGGTAGTGCAGAACGACTAGACACTTAAAAAAAGCCAATAAATCCGAGTTTATTTGTCTGTGCTGTAGTTTCGTTTATTCTTTTGGCCTTCACCCTGGACAACTTGTTTACGCGAGAGGAAGCTCTCTCTGGTGACTTATCTTACAAATATGATACCAACATTTACTTATTTACGTACTTCCTTTTTCTTGCTCACTTGGTTTGACAAATATTTACAGCTATGAGTTTCCTAGACCACGCTTTCAAACACAAGGGTAGTTAAATTTTCTCTTTATGACTAAGAAAAACTTTTTTCTCAGAGCATTTTTGCTTTTAATGCACGTGGAGAATGGGAGTCGACGTCTCCAATTCTTATTTCAGCTTGTCCGGGGATTGACTGAGTCCTAGCAGGGGGGGGGGGGGGGGGGGGGGGGGGGAGAAGTCTGTCGCAATTCTTCGTTCAGCTCACGCTTCCAGGAAAGAAAAAAATAATTCTGGGAACGTGAAATGAGCGACAGAATTTTACCCTTAGGTTCCCGAGGATGCCTAAARCCTTCAAAAATGCATCAACAATATTATAAGATTGTTCATGCTGCGCTTAGCACTCATGAACTCCTTAACAATTTATAACTGCCTTGAAATAGCTAATATTTATACCTATTTATTATGGAGTAATACTTTTTATGAGTATTGGTTCTTTACTGAATTTTTTTACTGCATTGTGATTTGAAAYTTTTTCTTAAGGTTGGCAACATGGAAATCGAAAGAAGACAATATCAAAACTAAAAAAAAAAATCTTTTCCCCACATAAACCAAGGCATTAACTTCTTAATATTCACATTTTATATTTCTGGGTTTTTTCGTTTTGCACATATTTTAACCTCCAAGCGTGAGGTCAAGAATCTTTGAGAAWGAAAAAGGCACCGCTTTTAACACAATTAACTCATAAAAAAGACCAAATATTTTGGTAAAGAAGTGTAAATATCTCTTGAAGTGTCAGATTTTTTGTCTATATTACAGACAACACAAAATTTTGCTCCGACTATTGTTCTTTGCACATTCTAACGGATCTAGCGAATGTCTCTCAGATTTTTGCAAGTCTTAACTCATAACTCCGTTCATTCAATGCTTTAATCCTGCAAAATTTTTCGCATTACCTCATCAGAAGAGCTCGACCTTYTCTACTTGAGCAAAATCCAGGTCCCGCAAAACACCTCTTGTAAGAACCACCCCTATAAGAAGACAATAACATGCACGTGGCCAAGTACTCGTCTAACCCGACAAATATCTGAAATTATTCCAAGAAATCCTACACCTTAGCTTCATGTGCAGCCTCTTATAGGATTTCTTTACCCTGTTTTGCTCTAGGAATTTTTATTTCTTAGGCCCATTCTGAGATTCAGGGTTAAACTTCCGATTCATTTTTGACGTGAACGATGCTATTAACCGATAGAAAAGCGTATTAAAGGGTAGGAAAATCTTCGAAGTTTGAGATGATTATGCTTTAACCGATTACATATGACTTYATTACTTTACAAATCTTTCTCAAAGTATCCCAAAAATATCAAAGTTACCCGCGTGGATAGGCTAAAAATACTCCTTAACGGCTTGAATATCGATTTCTTGACCGCTGAGTTTAGCTAAAATTGGCTATCATTTGCAAGCTTCGAATACCAACTCACAGCAGTACACTTGTGACTAAAATAAAAGACAGTGTACTAAAATTAAATTGATTAAATAATTGTGTATTGAAAACCTATATTAATGTTAGCAAAAATGTCCCTCGTAACAGGTCGGTCTGTTGCCTTAAGGCGCGAATATACGGAGCAATTTTCTCTGCAACATGCTTGGAACAACGTTGAGACACAAATAAGTTGCAAGAGTGGTCACACGGTGAAACGGAGACGCGATCATTGCCAAAAGTAGAAAGGAATGCTACTTTTCGCAACGAATTCTGCAGCTTGTCTCAACATTTTTTAAATCGTTAAATTGTTTACTTGCGCTGTAGGTTACATGGTGCAATGCTCCATGCAACGCCGTTGCTACACAAGTTGCAGAGAAAATTGCTCCGTGTAATCGCACTTAAGTCTTGTTTCTTTTTCTTTTCCGGGATAAAGACTAAGCTGGGTTTTAGATAAAACGAGCCGACTTATCGTAAGACTGTAAGGACTCAATCATGCAAATCTATTCCCAAGGACAAATRCTTAGRCTCGACAAGCCAGATAATGCATTTGGATAAGTTTGTCCGGCAGAGTCTTAAATGTCGGCCCTCGATAAGCACTCGAACGAAGTTAGACGATAAGCTTAAGCGTGTTTGCATCGAACTCCAGACAACAGCCGATTTAGTTTTGGATCTGATTTGTTATATTGTACTAAAGATTAGGGYTTACCCCCGAGGGCTCTCGTGACTCGATGATTCAAGTTTCAAATATTTGGGTAAGCCCCGTCGATCAGATTGATTGTAAATATTGATAGCCAGAGTTCATTGACTGACATGGTAATCAATACTGCTGAGCGCATGGTCACACCACGAGACCGGCTTTACGCGTAAGGAAATCTAGGAGTTCGCGAACAACAATTTCAAGGGGTGTTACTTATCCTAGCTAAGTATCTATTACTGGTCGTTTCTCATTTGTCGTTAAAATCCTATTCGACTATGATAGTATATCTTTAAGGAAAATAAGAAGATCAATTGAATAAACATGAGRTCTGAGAGTGAAAAAATACTTTTGTAAAAGGGCTGCAATATCGAGCGTCAGACCACATGACTGCGATGGTTTGGAGTCCCCTTAAACCATCTTTTACTCTTCGCGCAAAAAAATACTTGGCTATACCACTTGGCTAGACTTCAGTGAGCCAAGTAAGGGCAACAAAGGCAATACAAATGATAGCTCAGATATTTACGTCAAAAATAAGATAATTTTCGTGTTTTTCCACCCGATGTTTTTGTGTTTTTTTGTGTTTTTTTTTGTAAAGAATTGTGTCTTTGGTTTTTTGCATGCTTTCCTGACTGTAGTACCTCAACTAACCTAAGCTGTTGTCATGCTGTTCCATAACATGCTATATATTGTTTAGTGCTGATGATGATGAAGACGACGACGATGATGATGCATGATATTCTGATCCATACGAATTATTAATCAATAATTTAAACGTCATAGCATAGCATACCTTACCTTTGATAAAAAAATAACAGTATTCCAGAAAACGAGCTTGGGCAGCTTGAAATTCTTGAATCTTCGTTCCACTGACGATCTTGCCAACTYAGTTCACCATCAATAGCTTTTGCTCAACTACAACTGATGCTTTTCATTCTTCCGATTGAATTTTGAAGCTTATATTTTATTGAAAAAATATATCTAAAACTTCACATTTTAACTATTAATTTTTTTTATATCAAGTTTAAATTGGCTTCCGTCGTGTTTTTCTATGTATGTCTCATAGGCTTCTGCCGGAGCAAGCTGAAACAATGCKGAATCGCTGGATTGACTATCTACTCCGCAAAATCAGTGTAGCGATTCAAGACACACCACCAGCCAAGGTCACTCTTGACATCAGGGATTACTAACTTTACTTTTATATTTCCGTGGGTGTAAGTTTTCTTTCTTTGAATGAGAGTACGTACGTCCTTAAAAGGAAGTAGAGTTTGCTTGAAATTGTTATCTCCAACAAACCACACCTTTTAGACAAAACYACACAAACGAACTGAACACTGTACGGGAGAGTATCGTGTTTCAGAAAGAAATCTTTTGAAAATGCTTGAATTTAAATATGGAAAATTTTGTGTACTTTAAAAGGACAGAAGGAAGGTATATAACCTGCGTATTGCAGCCCGACTCGTTAGTAACACTCTGGTTTACCACAGTTTATCGTTTGGCTGCTCTCGGAGGAAGACTGTTTTTTGTTCATAGTGCTCGAAGATTTTATAAGCTTTTCTCAGGTGTTTTTGTAAAACAAAAGATATGATTTTCGAAAAGAAATGCCTACAATGAATGTTACGATTTTTGAAAGTTTTTTCCATAATTTAATTTTTTTTTTCTTTCGGTTCTTTGATAATATTTTTCTCTTCCGGGAAGCCATTTGAGAGTTACGACCTTCGCTGTACGTTGAAAAAAAATTACACTTAAAATGTGATATGATGATAAAAWAGGTCTTTTGAGTTAAAGTGAATTGAGTTCATTATATTTTAAGTTTATCAAACTATTTCCTGTTAAGAAATCTGGGCAGAAAATATTACAAATGAAAACCGTATTGCACACAATGCTCCGGAACAAACAACACTAATAGGAAAGACACGTAAATTGATGATGCAGAAYTCCTTAGAAACAGTTGACGAAACGGATCCACGACTTTGAACCCGGAAAAAAAATCAATACAAGATCATTGTCCTCTTTATATTTAATAGAGCAGCAGCCTCCTTAAAGACGCAAGCAATTCGAGAAAGTATTTAGACTTGCGAAAGTTTTGAGGAGTTTTTTTGAGGCGCAGCAGATGACTCTCAGATTTTTATGTTTTGTTTTGTCTTGTTTAGRAAAACTCTTGACACACCTTCGTAGACGTAAATATTAGATAATCCTGTCATTCGTAGGAGGTTTTTGTTTACGGCATTTCAACCGAAATGCGGACAATTCACGAGATTATGCTGTCGTCATTTCACGTAGGATGAGTAGGAGTTTTAAAATCAAATCCAAAGCTTTGCTTTATTTTGGTCATCGTCATTGACAAAACAGATCGATGAAAACACGACCTAAAATTGCGAAACATAGATTTTCTGATTTTTATCAAACTATAAAAACGATTAAAAGCATTTGTAATACATTTGTAATATTTTAAATAATTGATAGATAGATTTTACATGTACAATTATAAGCAAAATATTTAATCTTATCATTAGACCATGCGAGTTTATCTCCAGTCGGTCTAAGTATACGATGACAAAAATTTAATTTAATTCGACTTTGAAATATTTTTGATAATTAATGGATAAAGCTACAGTTATAAGCCAAATATTAAATTGTATATGAAACCATAGAGTTTGCATGCTACCTACAGGAGGTCTGCAATAGCAAAAATTTTATTTTAATTCGACTTTAGATTTTCTAAAATTAGCCTTGATGAGCGAGGTAAAATTATTTTAAACAGCGAAAAAGAGGGGAAAAAATATTAATCACATAGTGAATAATATAAGGAAAAAGCTCTATAGGCAAAAACACACGAAATTTCGATGGCTGAGAACTGAAATATKAAATAAAGAGTGATATCGTCGTCGTCCTTCAGGCGGCCATCGTCGAGATCAGTTACCTTGGCACAGCTAGAATGCTTTTCTCGGTGGGAGGTCAATAAATACGTGAAAARGAAAATCTCTCAGTAGGGAGGCAAAGGTGAATACAAACATTCTACCCCTACTGAGGGGTWAAAAGTGATTAATAACTCTTCAGAGAAGAGTAGATCCGACTTCAATTCTTATTCAATGCATTCCTAATCTTTGCCCAACCACAACGAAAGAATTGAATTTTAGTCAGATTTAAAATGGTGAGTTCTGACCAACATAACTGGATTGATGATACTGTGATTTATATGAAAATGCTAAAACAAGAAATGGAACACCTGTTGAATTGCTAGAAACTGATACTGCAAATGGTATTCCATTACTTGAGGGTGTGGATGGGTTTTAAAACGGTTAACTGACAATGTAATTTGCCCAAAAATTAGTCAGTTAGTTTAGGTAATTGGAGTAAATGCTGTCCAATTTGGAAATAAATGGCGAGTGCAATTTACAGTCAGAGGCAGGAATTTTTTGAATTTATCATTTCCAAATTGGATAGACATGTATATTTATTTATTTATTTCGCCATACGCATATATATAAAACACTGGATATTTACAATAAATATATATATTAGTTCTATTTACAAATGGYAAGGAGGCCTCCTGAAACCATCAGGCTTATAAAAGCAGWGAGCATCAAGTCCTGTAGAATTAATATTATTATATACACTATAAGCAACTTTGCATAATTGCATGTAGTCCTATTGCAGATTAATTATATCGTCCCAAACTATACTAGACTGATTCCATAAGTCATAGTTTTCCCTCGAAAGAATGCGAATGGAAACGACGATCAGTTTTAAATAACAAAACAGTGTCCTTAAAAAAAACAACGATTTCGTACAGTTGATAATGACGCCTTGAAACTTGGCTCTGAAACTTGAGTACAGCGGTGTTGTGAGACAGCACCGTAAGTAACATCCCTTGTGAAACCTTTCTCGCTGTCAAACATACTAAAGTTTGAGTTAAAATTTTAACGACATAACATGACCTTGTAATTGTCATACATACTAAAGCTTTGATTTTTTGCAGRTGAGCTTGTGATGATACTAAAATGCAGAGGTTTTACCAATAGTCTGTGAGCAGACAGTCCAGAGTAAAGTCTATTGGGCTTCCTGTGTACATGTGAGCAAAGGGCACTGGTAGGTTTGAGAAAAATTCTTCAAAGTACTAATGATTTTGTACTTAAAATTCCTGTTCTTGTTGTTTTGATATCGGTTTGCATTCTTGTTCACTGAACGGTACAACAACGTGTCGACAACGTGACCATTGTTCCGCTTTCTCCCAAAAACTGAAAACCTGTCAACTGAGCTGCCCCTTTTACGTCAGACTCTATTGATTCTAGCCTATCTTTCCATTCTTTCTGTGCCAATTGAGAAGACTTAAAAAGGAAAAACCATCAAGCGAAAAAGTAAAAATAAAGCAGATTACGATTAAACATACTCATGGAAGTGCGTACGAAAGCGTTAGCTATACAGCGAATCGAAATATGCGGCGAACAATTTAAATAACTATTGTTCTGTAATGACTAGCGACTGACTAGTTTCTCGTACATGTGAAACTGAACGCTTTTATGTTTTTAGGCTTGTCAGTCGCTAGTCGGTGCTATTCAGCGCCATATTTCGATTCTGTGTTTATTGGGCTAGGGATATTAATATCTCGTTGTCATGGTAACAATTTGGGTCAACGATTATATGACGCCATTTGTTATTGCGTTGGTGAATGATACAGTACCTCCCACAAAGATCTACTATACCCTCCCCTTCCTTACCAGCCCTTTTATGTGTTTTGAACTATCGGCGTAAAAGTTGTCACCACAGGCAACCCAAGCTTTGCTTTTAAGGATGTCTTCATAGTTTAGATATTTGCTGAGTATGGCTAAAACGGATAGAACTAAAAATAACATTACAGCATCCTGTTGCTGCTGGTTTGGTCGCACAATGCAAGCGTGCATACTGAGAAGAGTCTCAACAATGACGTACTAAACAATATCCTAGCGTGCACCGTATCACGTTCACTGAGCTAATCCCTCCAAGAAGCTACAATAATAATATGATAATTCTAAGCCGGGAAGTCAAAGACTTGATACTACAGGCAGTCACAACAGGAAACACAGTCAATCCACGAGTTTACCCAGCACGCTAACCCCCGATCCTGACCTCATATTCGTGAGCTAATGAAACTTTTTAAACCACAAAACAAACATACGAAAATTACTTTGGTAAATATTATGCTGATAAAAAGKCAAGTAGGGGCGGGTTGTAGATGATGATAAGCATTAATGGTTACGCCTTAGATAATTGTACAACCATGATAACTGACTCGCATGAGCAAGGACAGCAGAACACACTACAAATATATGTGTAGGGGGAGGAGGGCTTTGATTGGAAACATAGCGGACTATATAGCTAGTATGTATAAAGAACTAAAATTAAAGAGCTTGGATTGGAAAATAAGGCAGACCAATATGCATAAGACTAAAAGTGGGGGGCTTAGAATGAACTAGACGCATATCTGCGTGAACTCGGGCTTCATAGCAGAATATCGAAAGAATTCTTAGTGAACACTGTCATCCTTTTGACGAAACCTTGAAAAATTCCACTATTGCTCGACCATGTGCTTAACGCAAATAAAGCCCAATCTATACCTCGGACATTTCTTTGAAAGCCCGAGTAAAAATATGGCAGGCTAGTGTGCATAAGGTTGAAAAAGGGAACTTAGAATTGTTAATCGTGACGTTATCTGCTCAACACTAAACATCATTCCATACTTTTCTTTTTTTAAAATTCGGATGATTTTCATGAAAGCAGCCATTGAAATATCAATCCAAAATATTCAATTTACTCGTGTTACTTTCTTTTCAGACTTATGATTGTTGAGGGGGCACTTCTTCAATAACGATCCTTGATGCAGAAATCCAACCAGTGTAAGCATCAGCGCTGCCGTACCCTTGACAGTTGCCTACCCAGAATCCAACGCGTACTGAACCCTTGGGAATGTTGTTGCAATAGCCCTCGATGTGACGATGGCGGTGCATGTCTTGGTTKAGTTTCATATAGTAAATGCCCTCTATAGATAAGGGACCTGTACATTCTGCGCCGTTGAATGTAAGATACCATCGCCTGCAGCAACTGGTACAACTAGCGATTCTAAGGTTTCCAGAGTAAAATACGCGCAGGGATGTGCGGCTTTCCTTTTTAGTGAAAACACATTCCTAGGGGAAGAAAAAACGAAATGAAATGAAATGAAATGAAGAAAGTAAAGACTGAATGAAAATGGGAAGTAAAGAAAGGAAAAACGATGAAGATATACTATATACAAAAGTATGAAAAGAAGAGAAAAGAAAAGAAAAGAAAAGAAAAGAAAAGAAAAGAAAAGAAAAGAAAGTATTGCGGTTCATTCTTGTTATGCATGCGTGACTTCTCCGCCTTCAAGTTGGTTGCATGACACCCATGACGCCTTGAACCTAACCTACTCCTCCCTCGATCATAAATTTTGAATCTTGTTCTCTAAGAATATTTTCCTTTAAGAAAATCTATCTTGTCCGTTTTCATTAGTATCATCACTGCCCTATTAACAGAAAGGCAACAATAGCAYCTTTTCTTTTTTGATAAAGGTTTAGCTTCGTTTTGTATGTATCCGGCTGGCTGCTCATCAGCCATTCTCAATCACACGCGCCCACTAGCGATTTTTTCTGTCGCGACGAAAAAGGTTCGGTGGACGTCAATCTCAAGGCGTTTCCATAACAATGTCGGAAAACACAAAGCTATAAGGGCACGTGCCTATATAGAATGTCATGGAAATGCCTTTGATTGACGTCCACCAAAAGCTTCTTTGTCGCGACAGAAACAATCGCTAGAGCGGCGCGTGTGACTGAGAATGGCTGTAACACTATTAAAAGTCAATGCGCCAAAATAATTATTTCACTTGGTCATGCAAGGCTGACCTTACCTGAATAAGTCCTATGTCTTTGCTATCTKCGCGTTTCCATGCACATTGCTTCCAGTTTCGATCAAGAGTTGTWGACCCGCYGCTGTTGCCTTTAGGACCTGGTGCTCCACGTTCACCTTTAATTCCAGGTGCTCCGGCTTCTCCCTTCGCATCACGTCCATCTCTGCCTGGAGATCCAGGTAAGCCATTGTTACCAGGGACACCATTGTTGCCAGGAAGACCCGCAGGACCAGGAAGACCCGCGGGACCCTGAGGGCAATTCTACAGAAACAATGTGTCAGTTATAATTCTTCGATTGCATGTTACATCATCACTGCCTCTCAGGGGAGCGTTGGTGCCATTTAACAAAAGATTTCTYATTAGCAYCCATTGTTAACRGCACCACAATGGCCGCCATGCTTTTGTCTTTTRACTMTCTTGGGAAGAGAATGAAAAGTAGGAAGTAAGGAAGGCAGCAACTTATTGTAGTTTATACACATTAATATTTTACAGGTCAAGCACATAAATATGAAAGCATATATACGATTTTTATATCGATAATTCTTCTGGAGAAAAAATGTATCCATTTATATCGGAAAAAATTGCCCATACATTCGGAATATTTGCTAGTATTTAGTGCCGATGTGAAATTAGCGCATTCATTTTCATGACTTTATTAAATGCGTACAAGAGTGTAAGAAAAGCAATTTATACCAAAAACTATAAACTAAAAAATAATAAAGTTGATGAAAGTAAAACTTACCGCTGCTCCAAAGGAGAGATGGATATTCAGACAAGCAGCCAACAAGAAGAGGAACATCCCTTGCATCCTGACGACTATTTGGCTTATACTTCAACAGTCTTCAGTTAAAATGAATCCAACTGCGTTATTTGGTTCATATATAATCGATTGCTATCACACGGAGATTGTGTTCCAAGTACTATAATTAGCTAGCCTGTTGTTCTAGAATGTCAATTCACACGTCAGCTTACACTGGATGTTTTTACCAGGTGTTCTGTGGAAGCTGGACGTGACAATATTAGCAGTTGAATCTCAAAAAGTCCTGATAAACATCACGCATAAGCTAAAAAGGGTTAAAAGTCATGGCGCATCTTATACAACGGGGTGTACAAGATGTATTCACAATCTACTAAAAAAGTATCTTCGGCCCGCGCGGATGCTCCGCTACTATCAGCATTAATTCATTAATTAATAAACTAATTAAGCGCGGGGGGGGGGGGGGGGACAAGTTGTTACAAATATTTCTTGAAATTTTTCCTTCGTCTTTCTTCTGGTATTTTTTAGAAGACACGTGTACTTGTTGGGCTTCCTGTGGCAATCGCCAATACCGTAAGTCAGCGGTATTTCCATGACAACCTCTCGTAAATAATTCCACAAGACGCCATTTTGTTCAACACGAAGACAAAATGTTCTCTTTATTTCCGAGCGAAAGTACGTTATTTTTTACTATTTTGAATTTATTTGAATTAATTTAACGTGTTTTTATAATGGCTATTTTGTTTTATTCTAGCTTCCCAGAATAATGTGTCGTTCGGCACGACAATGGACCGTCCAATGCTTCCCTTGAAGATTCCTCCAACCCGTTTTGGAAACGAGATGTTTTCCGGAGGCAGTCCGCATATTGGTCCTGGAAGCTACGATAATGCAGAGGTAACACGAAGAATCTCCTTTAACTAAGGCTACAAGATGWAAATTTTGATATTTAAATGAGATGTTTAGAACATACTGTAAGGTTCAGTCTGTCACACTTGACACCCCGCTTGTGGTAGAATAAGAAAGTAGTGTGTTGTTACCTTGTTAATATTTGTTGTATATTGTGTTTAATGAATATATGCAGTTTCTAATAGTATTTAGAATGGCAAGTTGTTTTTCTCATAGGAGCATTGTTCTTTGTTGTTGTTGATTATTTTGTTGTTGTTGTTGTTGTTGTTGCTGGTTGCATGTGTTGCAGATGTGGCCATTGTCACGGTTATCACATAAAACGATTTTGCCCCAAGTTTATGTCTAGATCTTTAGATTCAAAAGTTATTCTCTTTTCTTTCTTTTTTCTTGGATTATTCAATTTACCCCACATTACATCCCATTTCTCTCTTCTTCCTCCTTCTTAACATTATATTCCAACAATTAACCATAGTATTTTAATTCGTTCACTCTTWTCTAATAGGTCAGTGCATTTGTTTATGAGATGGAACAGAAACCTGTCTGCAATAGAGGTTATTCTCTTGGAGCCAGAACAGCAGAAMGATTCCCAAAACCTAGTCATGTAAGTGGAAAAAAAGATTTAAAAAAGTATAACTGGCAATAATTTATTTGCATAATGTGATGCATAGGCTTTGGTACAATAGACTGACGCAAAAGATATACATGTCTTTTATATCTTTTTGCTAAAGATATAAAGGTGTGTAAGACTTCTTTTGCTAGAATTTCTAGTCACTCCATGTTCAAATATTTATTTTCTGCAAGTACATAGTTTGTGTGTATATCATTTAGCAGTGTTCTTTAAATTTAACTTTTTTATCTACCAACTGATTGATTTACAGATGGATGTTCCTGGGCCACCAACCCATCAACCCATCGTCAGTAAACCAGTAGAATTTGACCCAGACTTTAAACCATTTCTTGTGGGGTCAACAAGATTTCCTGAAATATCCAAGGTATTCTACCTGTTTTTGTTATGATTCTACTGTCCACTTTTTGTGCTTCAGCCTTACATATACAATACCCAGACAGCAATTTTTGGCTTTTATCATTCAGTTTTGAAATAGCAATCAATTATGGTACAGTCTAAAACCTAGACTTTTTATTGAACCCTAAAACAACCTCTACGAAGCTGATATAAGTCTTGATCTAACTCAKGGCATGGCTAACTCACAGATTRAACCCTGAAACAACCTCTGGGCTGATCAAAATCAGAGTATGGTTACTCTCACACGTCAGTTCAAATTCAGCTTACTCGCTAACTGAACRACCTCTGGGCAGATCAAAATCAGGAAATGGCTTACTCGCAGATTGAACCCTGAAACAACCTTTGGGCTGATCTAAGTCAGGGCATGGCTAACTCACAGGTAGAACCCTGAAACAACCTCTGGGCTGATCTAAGTCAGGGCATGGCTAACTCACAGATTGAAACCTGAAACAACCTCTAGGGTGATCTAAGTCAGGGCTTGGCTAACTCACAGATGGAATTGGAATTTTCCATATTATAGGCTTTATAAAAGAAGGATAATGCATAAAATCCCAAATTAAAGACCTAAGGAATTATACATCTGATGCTGAGTCCAGGAAATATCAACCTGAGACTAGAAAGATGAGATAYATGTGGACTTACCACCATGATATATCAAATAGAAAACCTACATTACCAAACCCTGTATAAATTAAAATTTAATTTTCAATGCTTTTTTTCCTTTTTATGATGAAAACAGAGTAATGTTGTCCAAGAACCTGGGTAAGTCTTTTTTTCAGTAATAATTTTGAGACCAGTTCCATGTAATAATGATATTTTTTTCAGGAAATATGTGTAATTTCATACTTCTGTTTCTGAATCCCTAATACGCAGAATTGAAATATAGAGACCAATTTGATTAACTGTCATTCTGGTCCCAGTTATATGAAGCCTGGATAGCACTATCCAAAGAATGATTTCTTATCCAGTGAATAAGTAAATAAATTTATCCAGYACTGACTAGCAACTSCCTAGCCCCRTGTTCACATGGAAACCAGAAAGCGTTTTCRCACATATAAGATACTTGTCAGTCCAAAACAATAATTATTCTTAYAGTACACTCAACAAAATTWCTCTGATTGGTCGAGAGGAGTACAATTATAGCGTTAATTGTACTCCGTAGGAGTACCAAATTAAGTCGCTATGGCAACATGGCCAAAACAATGTCAAAACAATTATTTTCTATCATTTTGTACTTAAAAAACAGTTAAATAAAATTTTAAAGTCATAAGAACAGTCTAATCTTTTCTTTGCATTTCAGTTGCGCGATGGACTGAAAATCGGCCACCAAATAGACAAAGATGAACGGCGTTGCTTCGCATTTTTTACTGAAATTTTGTTGAGTGAACTATAAACAAATAATCGCTTGATCTTCTTGTACGATTTGGAATCAAGGCTCATGCAATTACAARAACTTTCAAAACATTACTCGTGTCTATTAATTTCCAAATTGTACTCGAGATCGTGAGATTTCCTATACAAATTGGTTGCCATATTTTGATTGGGTATATATGGTTGATGTAATAATAAAAGATATATTATTTTGTACTGTGTTTTATCAGGGCAGGTACATACSAACATGACATTCCCACAAACAGGAAGATGAAGTACCATGGTTCATTTGGAGGGCCGCAGACCCTCATTACGTCAGTCAAAATAAAATGCAATGATTTTGGAGAGAAAGATATTGTAAGTACAAGACTCAATCATGTTGTAATTTGTCCTTATTTAACAATCTTTGTCACCACCCTTTTCTATGATAGCAAACTACTGCATTGTGGTCTAGCTAGGGTACAAACAACTTTTGTTTTATCAAGTCTAAATCCTTTATTTTAGACCTATACAGGGTTGTAGCAGTGTTTTGCAAAGGGGTAGATCTAAATTAAAAGAACCTGCCATTTTGTTTGAGCCCCTGAAATGTCGAACCAAAAAAAAAMAAARCAAAAAAAACACGAAAATCTGGCATTGTTTTATTTTTACACAAAAAATTGAAAATTACTGCATATATTCTAAAAAAGCCTCCATTTTATTGCCACAAAGGGTGAGGGGGGTACTAGTCCTCTTCCCCCACCCCCGTGTACACCCCTGCTAGAGTCCAAACACTATATAACGAAACAGTACTTAGAATAACTAGCACCTATACAATGTGTACTAGATAGCACAGATGGAACAAATAGACATCACACTATTTAGGGCATAATAGATTGAGTGATTATTCACAGAGTAAAGGTGTTTGCACTCTACTCTATCTTTAGCCTGTGTGCATCTGAACACAAACTGTTTGTTAGGTTCATCTGCAAATCAGCAACAGATTTCTTGTTCTAGACCCCGTGCAATGTAGCTAGAAATATGAACTAAAATGTGATTGGTTAATCCCTACACACATTCTTACACACCCTCTCATTTGCTGTTTAGTGTTATTCAAACCAGGCTGTACTCTATCTGTGGATCATTGTTGAATTCACTTACGTCCCACTTTACACTCTAATTCACCCTCTCATTTGCTGCTTAGTGTTACTCAAACCAGGCTGTACTCTATCTGTGGATCATTGTTGGGTTTACTTACATTTTCAATTTCAAATAATGTAGTTCATGATAAAGTTAAATGTTTTTGGGTTTTTGTCTTGTTCATTTTTTAGTGCAACACGTGCAAAAATAATCCTATTGGTGATTATTATGAATACAAGAAGAAACATTTTTGTCGAAAATGTTACAACCAACACTTAGAAAGCCAGAAAAAGTATCCAAAGAGGTATTGTTTTGCGTAATGATATACTTGATTTTTATGTTAGAGTTAATTACCGAGAACGGAGGCAATAAGCCATATACATCCTGAGGGCCGCAGTCCCGAGGGATGTATAGGCTTATTGCCGACRTTCRAGGTAATTAAGTATTTTATTTATCAATTGAGAAGGTTTTCTATCAAATGTTGCTCATTATAAATGCGAATGGTCTACATATAGTTATTAACCGGGTTAATAACTATATATTGACCTCGCATTTATAATGAGGGCTGTAACAAAAACAAAGCCTTGTGAATAACAAAGGAAACCGTGTCAATTGAGAAATGAGTAAATATCCATACCTCCCCCACAGAAGATGTTCTATAGATGGGGAGGGTCTGAGGAGAGTAAATTGTGTAGTTACAGAAAATATCCATACCTCCCCCACAGAGAGGGATTGGAAATTCCAAGGGGTGGGGAGGGTCTGAGGAGGGTATATATTGTTCAGTTCCATAAGATATCCATACCTCCCCCCACAGAGAGGGATTGCAATTTCCAAGGGGTGGGGAGGGTCTGAGGAGGGTCATATTGCGTAGTTCCATAAAATATCCATACCTCCCCCCACAGAGAGGGATTGGAATTCCCTAGGGGTGGGGAGGGTCTGAGGAGGGTATATTATGTAGTTCCATAAAATACCAATACCTACCCCATGGAGAGGGATTGGAATTTCCAAGGGGTGGGGTGGGTCTGAGGAGGGTATATTATGTAGTTCCATAAAATATCCATACCTTCCCCATGGAGGGGGATTGGAATTTCCAAGGGGTGGGGAGGGTCTGAGGAGAGTACAGAAAATATCCATACCTCCCCCATGAAGAGGGATTGAGAGTCAAAAAGGATGGAGACTTATCATTTCTTTTGTGTTTTTGTTGACAGTTATCTCATGAAGTTTTATAAAGTCAGAGATTGTTCTCTGATTCATGACCATGAAGGAACAAATGCCAGATTAATGGTAAGGTATTTTCTTTTTATDAGGCTGCGTTCATAATGTATGGCAGAGGGGGGGGGGGCAGGTGAAAATTTGAAATGTCCAGAATAATTCTTAACACCCCCCTTAAAGTCATGCAAAAAAATGCGATCCCCCCTAAGCAAGGCTTGTAGCTTCTTCCAACAATCGTGCATCCCCCCATTTTTCTGATAAAAACTTTCCCATCCCCCACTTTTTCCTACCAAAATTTTCCCGATCCCCCCTCAATTTCACCTGCCCCCCCCTCTTCCATACATCATGAATGCAGCCTTACTGATGATAGAAATGACAACAATCATTGATAACGATTTGTAAATCATAAATTGATTCYTGAATTAACTTTTTTTATTACAGCTTAAATCTGAAAAAGATATCAAAAAGCAGCGCTACCGTGAAGCATACATGAGTCTTTACTTTTAAAAGTAAAATCACTTATTTAAAGAAAATGTTTTCAAGCTACAGTAACTGATACTACCTCAAAACATCAGAGATGCGTCAGCTGAAAAGTGGAATTTTATATGAAATACTTTGTAAATAATTTTCATAGAACTGAGTGAAAAATTAAAGTGTAGATAAGGGTGACAAGATATCTTTGTCAGTCCTATGTTGTACAAGTCATTTGTAACTTTCACGTCCATTATTATTCGCAATTGCAGTGACAATAAAGCATTTCGAAACATATCACAATAAATCTAAACTTAAATTAGCCCAGAGGCCGTTTCAGTGTTCGATCAGTGAGTTAGCCATGCCCTGATTTAGGCAGCCCAGAGGTTGTTTCAGTGTTAGATCTGTGAGTTAGCCATGCCCTGACTTAGATCAGCCCAGAGGTTGTTTCAGTGTTAGATCTGTGAGTTAGCCATGCCCTGACTTAGATCAGCCCAGAGGTTGTTTCACTGTTAAATCTGTGAGTTAGCCGTGCCCTTATTTAGGCAGCCCAGAGGTTGTTTTAGGGTTCAATCTCTGAGTTGCCCTGACTTGAGGTTGTTTCAGGGATGTATAGAATTAATGTTTATTTTGATAATGTTGGTGAAGATGTTCTCTTGTTAACTAACTCTGCTTGCCGAGTCGACCAGTGACTCCTACATTTTCCCTCGCTYTTCCATTTCCTCCAACCATTTTCTTCGGAACAGAAATACAATCATCATCTATGTCCACCAATTTCTTAACACTCACAGCTCCAGATACCTCTGGGTCCCGTTCATCATAAAACTCATCCAAAAAACATATCAGTCGCTGTCTCTGCTCACCTAAAGAACACCGATTAGCAATCCACTGTGCTGTCGTCTTACTGACAAGACTCAAAACATGTTGCTCCCAGATGAGAGTAGAATTCRCTTTCTCATCGACTTCGTCTTCCTCTCTATGCCCAATGTTTTGCGCATTGTACAGATATTTTGGGTCCGTTCGGATAAAAGTGTCGTCTCCTTCAACAGGAAGACAGGTTGGATGTCTTGGGATAATCCCGCAAATTTCTCTTTTTCTTCCTCTTGTAGGCTTTTTAAAATCTTTCTTGTAGATGAAGAGGGTTTTGGAATTCGTCCTGGGGTAGCTCAGGAATTGAATGTCTCCCCTCTCTTCAATCACATCTCCAGCGAACTTCAAAGGAATTTCTACGTCAGCGTTTTTCTCCGCATAATTTTCTCTCCTCTTCACAAGAAGAACATTYTCTCTTTCCTTCTCACATCCCAAAATTCTACAATTTGCATAGTTCCTTACGTATTCTCKGCAATCTTTMGTCTTGAGTGGKTTTTTTTCGTTTCTTTCTTTTGKTCTTGTTTTTGGGGTACCATTCCTCGAGTCTTGTTTTGTTCTAGAAAAAAAATTTCCACGTTCTGGAATGTTAATCTTCTTTCCCGAAGCTACTGAACTTGTCGTCGCMATTTCAGTTTTCGTCTTCTGAGAATTCATAGAAAGCGGAGCAGATTTTATCTGCCCTTTTCTAAAATTCCCAAACAGTTTCTTTTCATCTACGGAGAGTTCCTTCTGTGAAAATTGTAAATTTAGTTTTGGAACGGAATTTCCTCGGATAATCGGTAACAATGAGCTACGTTTCCCACTTGAATATGATATTCTGCTTACCATCYTGAATCTGCAATATCCTCTTTGGTATCCAACCGGGAATTATGCCYTGAATTTTGTATCTTTTTTTGTTTCTAGCGAACAGCAAAATATGATGTTGCTAAGGGGGATTTACTAAAATATCTGCTAAGAGAATGAGTGTGGGACCGCAAAGGCAGAACAATGRAATACCGCAATTGAATCAGCCAATCACAACACACTAAACAACTCCAATATCTATCCAGTAAAATCGCGTAAAGTCTTTAGTTTAGATTTCTTGCTTCGCACGGGAAAAATAWTCTCTTTTGTTCGTCGTTTCTGTGTGTTAAAATTTTTACAAGGATTAAGGAATATCACTGGTCATAGCAGGAACATTTTAAAACATTGTAGGAATTGAAAAAGAAAYGTGTTTAAGATAAATAACTTAAGGGGAAATTGTTAATCGATTTATTGTTTTCGCTTTTGCTGTACAATTGTTTGTTTTCTGAGAATGACAGCGGAATACTGTGAAGCGAACAGATGTGCTCAAAGCGAAGCTATTGAGCGAAGATTAACAGGCTCGTTTACCGAGCATTCTCGGGCGCAGAGCATGCCGGGAAATGTAGTCCAATAGCAATGAGAACTAAACAAATGACCTCGTTGCTAAATTTGATCATTTCCGAGTTTATTTTTCGATTTCGTATAACGTTTTTTAATCCCTCTCCAGATTTGTAAGGGCATATTATTTTGATAGGTCCCGGATGTCATTTAACAGTCCATTATCGTGAGGTTCAGCGGGGTCTTGGTCCATTATAGGGGGGCTACTATCAGGGGGTCTATGATCAACGCCAATTAACTAATCGCTTTGTGCAGGTGATCTTGTGCTTTCTGGTACACGAGAAGCAAAAGCAATCGTGAATAATTATAATTTTAAAACCGTTTGAACGGTGAATTTTGTTCAGCCAATCACAGCSYRTTTARCTGTTTTGCCGCCGRCCCTCATTCCCASGCTACTGTAACCCAACKTTTGCTCATTTTTCTGTTTTCTTTTGAATAAAATATAATAAAAGTGCTTACAAGAAGCAGAAATATGGAAAGGAAGAATACTAAAAAATCMGCTTTACTGACACGTTTTTTTCGTTCTTCCAAGCTCCAAAAATGCTGAGGGACGGTCATTTTGTCCGCTCATGCTTTGAATGCTATAAAATGAATGTACTGTCATTGAAATGAAAACGAAAATTGAAAAACTAGAAAACGCGTGTGCAGTTATGAAGCACGCGGGGCTTGGTAGTACACGAGAGAAGTGTTAGGAGAAGCACGACGAGTAGCGGAGTGCTTCTCGACACTTCTCAAGTGTTCTGTCAATCACCAAGTGCTTTACAACTCCTCACAGCACAGCAAGCAAGTTTTTTTTCTTTTACGAAAATGCAAATTACAATAACTGTTATTTTGGATAGGAATGACGCAACTGARAGTGCGCGCGTTTGCTGWKTGTTCATAAAGCACGCGCTCCCAACCAATRAGAATAATTAACAATAATGAAGGATTGATAATTAATAATAATGACGGAAGGGTAGATGAATTGCTGCTTAAACGAACGAACGAACGAGAAAACGAAAGAACGAAAGAGAAAACGAACGAACGAACGAACGAACGAACGAAGAAAGAACGGACGGACGAGTCTATAATGAAAGAATGAACGAACGAACGCATATAAATGAAGGAATTATGAATGACTAGACTAGAGTCGAATAGGCAATCCTTTTCTAACAGRCGATCTATCAAACTTTGTGATTTGGTTCCTTTCCTGTTTATTCTGTTATACTTTGTCTATTCTCAGCCAGCTTGTTATGCTGCGTTCATTTCCCTGCCCACTCAATACACGGCTCGTTTGAATTATATATCGATGCACAGGTAGCCCAAGCTTGGTTTCTGTGSTGTCMTGTTATAAGGAAATGTATGGGGATTCTTCAARAATTTCAATAAAATCATTGAAACGTGAAATAAAGCCTCAAAATTTTACCCGATCATTGAGAAATAGCACTTCTTTCGCTCTG